CCCAAAGGCTAAGAACAACAACAACAACATACCCAGTGTAATCCCACAAGTGGGGAGGGCAAATTGTACACAGACCTTACCCCTGCCTCGTGGAGGTAGTGAGGTTGTTTTCGATAGACCCTCGGCTCAAGAAAAGCAAATTAAAGCAGTTTTAGAAAAAGCAATTACAAAAGCAAATAGGCCATGACAAATAATATGAGAAGCATTTTGAAGAAAAGAAAAAAGGAACAGTAACAACAGCTAAAAAGTATGATAACCTAAGTATAAGAAACAACACATAGTAACAAAAATGGATGGACGAGGGACTACAGCAATGATGCTAATACTACTGGTAAGAAGGGGAAGATGCGGTGCTCCAAACCTCCTAGCCTATCTGACAGGGAAGTGAGACAACACTCAATTACAAACTCTACCCTAATCTGCAACCTCCATAACCTCATATCATGTCCTCAGAAAGTTGAAGATGTGCCAAGTCCTGTCTAATCACCTCTCCCCAAAGGCAAAGAAGGGGGAAATTATTCACAATAAGGTCATTTTTGTATTTTTTTAAGTTCCAGGTTTAGCTTAGGTCAACCAAAAGTTTCAGATAGAATCAGAAGCCTTGTGTGCCCCCAATTATAACATTGGCAGTAAACTATTTATCTCTCAGTACTCTAGTTAAAAGTATCGTCATTAGGATTCTTTAGTCATAACATGTTTAACATGTGCTTGCTTCTCAAATAAAAAGACTTTTAGATTTAAAGCCAAAAAAAGGTCTTACATATCTTGATATTGTTGATTGCCACTTTACTTCCATAATTGGCTGAATTCACAAAGCAGAGATGCTAAAGAAGAAGAATACCACAGGGGGAAAAAAACAGATTCGGTACATGGTGAATAACATTTTTCCGACACCAGGAATGCAGAATTATGCTATATGAATTGTAAATGATCATGCAATTTGATTAATAATTGATGTCCTAGGAATGTAAGGTCCCAATAAATTCTATGATTTACACTTACTGAGAGCTCAGTTGTATTGGCCCAGTATACCTCATATGTGAAAGTTAATATCGTCTTCCCAATGTATGAGAGTTCTTGTCATTCCATACCAGTTTAGTTTGCCCTCCATTTCCGCTTGTTGCAAAGGATAGCTCCTGCAAGTTAGTCATACTATGAAGAATTGTCGAATGAGGAAAACAAACTATTTGAAAAGAATGGTTGAATTCAGCTAAAGAAACAGAAAATCATTTCAGGCATACCCGTTTTGCTCTTTTATCAACGGGTGTCCATGATGAAATAGGACGATCTGAAGCCTTCTCACTAGAGGATGCTGGTAGCTGCATGCATTTCATACGCCTCTTTCTCCTAGTTGCTGCCTCTTGGAAACTGTTTCCTTGGTACTTGTAAAGTTCCAGAGTAGAGGGACTCTTTCTCTTTGTAACTTTTGATGGTTTCCCAGGGTACCCGTAACAAGGAGCAGATAAGTCACATGGGACAGATTGCTGACGTGACCGACTCTTTTCCCTGATTCTGTTCAGAAATTCAATTGTCCAGGGTGATCCTTGCTGCAATGGAGTGGATTGAAGTGCGTTTGAGAGTGGTGTTTCTCCATAACTGGCTGCATTCTTTTCTTGCTTCGTCAGATCACTCACACATATTACTTTCTGGGATATACCCTCATCTGGGACCCATTTCTGGTGCTTAAATTGAATCTTCTTATGATTGAAACCTGCATTTAAATGCTGTCCCATTCCTTGCCTTGATCCTTGCCCAAGGTCTCTCACAGAAGTGTAGGCATCTAGGCTAGAGTCAATTTCCACAGTATTTAGAAATTCTAGATCACTTGCTCCAAAAAAGAGTTTTTTAGCAGCTGTAGGAATTCCTGTTGTAGGAGTCTCCATTGCATGCACCTGGGTAGAAAAGGACTTGGATTTTGCATTATGAAAGGCTTTGCCAGATCCGACAGTATCATCAATGTTAATAACCTCACCTGTGATATGATCTGTAAAATTTCCTGAATAGTTCTTTTGTCTACCCAATTTGTTCATCATACCCACATCAACTCCCTCTCTTGGGTGCAAACACACATCAATTTGTGGAGCCCTGAATTTATTTATATCACCACCTCCCATCTGTGAATTATTAGTCATCTGGTAGTCACAGAGATCAGTTACTTTAAAAAGATCTTTTGTCACATAGGTGTCTAATGACTGCCTGTGAACGCATGGTTCGTTGTCAAATGATAAGCTAGACTTCCCAAATTCATCAAACAAGTTGATATCATCTGAAATCAAAGAATCACGCAGGCCAGATGCTCTGGGATGATGAAGTCTGCCTTCAGAAAATGTTCTCGGTGGATCAAGATCATATACTTCCCTTGTAGGTATATTCAGATTCTCAATATCCCAGGTGGTTTTTCGTTTCGTCCTCCCATAGGTTCTTTTGAAATGAAGACTTTCAGAGTCTGTTGCAGAAGAAACTGAAGAGGAGCAATCTGTCATTACCGATTTAGAATCCTCCCGTTCCCCAAATCTGCTCAAAGCACTCAGTAATATGATGCTTTCATCAGGAACTTGATATTTTTGAACTGCATGAATTTTATGTTCACGAGTCCATCCCAGAAACTCAACAAGCAAGCCTGCTGAAGACAATATTGCATGAGCTGAGAGTGAATTGATTGAAGGAAATGCAGTAAGGAAGGATTCTGCCAGCGTTTGTGACTCAGGCATCTTAGAATAGAGCCCTCTGCTTGTCCTCGAGGAAAGTTCGATACACGATAATATGATCTCATCAGTCATCTCAGAAGAATATGAATAAAAGATCTGTATATCCATGCCCAAGCTAGCAGCAGCAGCATAGAGCTCATCAGATGACTCCATAATTCCTGATATAAAGTCGCTTTCTCCCTCAAAGACCTAAAGAAGATGGCCAAGAAATACTATATATCATGAACAAAACATTATGTGTAAGCAGGGCTCATGCTAGACTATCTTGGTCTAAAACTACAATAAATAAGTGCTCTTATTTACATTTCCAGTCACTGCTACTTCTTTGAAGTAATCCGCTATATTCAAGAATAACCATGTAATGAAGATTATTATCTTGTGCTTATACCATCATGCCGTACACAAGGTCACTTGAGGTTGAGAGATATTACATGCACATGGTGATAGTACTCAGTTTTCAAACTGTTCACCGAGAACAAAAAGAAGGCCTATCTCAAGTTGGTCATTGGCATCACATCTGCAATGCAATTGTGAACATCTGGAGCTAAGGAACAGGGAAGAACCAGGAGATTGGAAGCGTAAAGAAATAAGTCTTGAGAATTAATATTTGAATTCCCCTTTAGCTGATAAGTTCATGAAAGTTTCTCAATCTCCAGGAAATAGTAAAATAGGTCCACCATAAGAAGGACCTACTAGATACATAACTCTTGCAATTTCCAATATCAATTTGCCACCAGCCTACCCTCTATCATCAGATCGTCATAATTTATCTTACTCATTCAATGATGTTATTTCCAGTAATTTTGCATGCCTTCGATTGTACCGAGTACTACCAGACGACCATCTTGAAGAATATTCAATACTTTGATATTAAAAGGAGTTAAAAGTAAGCTAGGGATAAAAGAACACTATGACGAAATGATGGTTGAGGGTGTCAAGATAAAGCAAAGTAAAGATCATTAATGACATAGCTGGAATTAGACTCTGGTACATGGCGAATTGTGACAAGCAACACTGATGGAAGAAACAGGACACTATAAGCAATCAGGAAGTGTGTCTATCTCTCGAAGGGAACGCAAGGTATTTCATTTTAACTCATTGAAGTGAATGTAAGAAGTGTATGTAAGTGGAATGTTATAATTTGTAGGAATCACCTTAAACTCTTCAAATTAGTATTCTCAACTATCTCAGTGTCTCACTATTGATATTTTAATCCTGATCAAACAATTGCTGCAAGTACAATTAGCTGAACACAAAGCAGGGCATGAAAAAATGTTTAGATTTTTCTCCAAGTGGATTGCAAACTTTTAAGACCCTAGAAAGCTACATAGAATGAACTTAGACAAGCATGAAATATATTTTTTAACAAATAATGAGGGAAAAGTCAAAATAGAAAAGACATACTCAATTTTTGAACAATCCTTTTCTGCTCTCAAACACTTGGTTTTGCAGCTAAGAATCTGTATATTTCCTATGTTACAGGGTGGAAAACCATTCAGATATCACAAGTCCATTGTTGTTTTATTTTTGGTTTTCCAGTGCTCTTTCTGAAATAAATGCATTGCATACCTTACATCTAGCACAACACTGTGTAGGTGTGAGCAGTTTGGAAAGAAAAACATGCTACTTACCAGGATGCAGCCACTGAAAGCAAAACTGAGTGACGTCAAAATACTTGCTGCAATATTCTCAACACACAGAGGCAAGCAAGAGAAAGCCTCATCAGGGGCAGTAGCTTTCTTTGCAATGTTTTTGCAGTCATACCAAGCAAGGCAAGCTGATGCACTGACTATAATATCGACAGGCTGACGTAAATCACGCTCTACAACCTGTACTCCTTTCTTCTCGAACGCAAGAATCTTTTGGTATGTAGTTCTCCTTGAAATTACCATTTCCTTATCAAAATTGTGTGTGTTAACTATAATGATTGTCTCAGGACAGCTATCTGTGCTTCCACGATTTTGCTCAGATCCTAAACTGAACACTGCATGTTGAGCTGCAGCAGAGCAAGCTTCATTTCCCAGTAATGTCGCAACACTTGCACCCTTCAAGTTCTTTTCCACTGGAAGGAAATTCAGCAGTTCTTCAACTGTAACGTCAATCTCATTGAGAGCAGAGAAAGAGTGAGGACCTGCCCCCTAGAAAACGAGCATGTCAGAAGTTCTAAACTTTGAAGCCTCTAGGAATGAACAGGAGGAGTCCGTTGCTGCATATTTGAATTATCTACTTCTAGTCTGATCGACAGCATAAAACATTGAACGCTAAACAATTCTCTTCTCTTCATGCAGTGATCAAAGTTAAGGTTTTAGGGCGATTTTATCAGAAGATAAAAGCTCATACTCCAACTGTTGATAATTTACCAGCATATAACAGAATATGACTTGGATGGAGAAAACCTCAGTACCATGTAAAAATGGAAATACATCAAGCCACAGTGAGGTAAATCCCCCACACGGGGAGCTCAAACAGGGAAGCAAGTCAATTGTGTTGAAGAATTATTTCAACCAAGCAATAAAAGGCAGACACAGCACCAAAAGAATGAGGAAGGGAAGAAACCCAATTACTCAAAAGTACAAACTCATACCTGCAAGATGAATAACTGACCATATTCTAACTTAAAGAATTAACAACCACTGCGTCTCTCGAGTTTGGATATCATGGTTGTTAACACTTTAATGCAAATTGAACTGTATAGTGTGACTCAAGAAAACAGAATAGATAAACAATAAGAATATCGAAAATTTTGACAGTCTCAAACTTTTCATTCCATTTACAAAAACAATTTGGTGTCGTGCATTCCTTGGAAGGAAACACAAAACTATGTGATATTTTTCAAACTGATAGACATCAAGCAAAAGACAGAGACTTGCCATACTAGGTTCATCTGTGTTGGGCATGTCAACGCCATCACAAAGTGCTTTTGCAACACTGGGGTCCTCCAGCTCCACCTTAAGGAAATGAAGAGGAGGAACTCTATCTGACTTAAGCAAGATGGAAGATACTTTAGATGATCCTTGTGAACCTCCATATTCCAAGATGATCTCAAATTTTTCAAATGGAAATGAGGCAGACAGATGCCTGGAAAAAAAATGGAATATCAATTCATTTCTTTAAATCTCATTTTAAATTTAGGAAGCTTGTCAGTAGCATTGTGGTAAACAATATTAAGAACAAATAAATTTGAACCATCTCAATGTAGCCAAACTATATGTTGTCTGTCGTGATACTATTATGGTGGACTTAATCTGTTGTACCTAGAATTGATTTTTATTTTAATAAAGGGCTTAATGCCCAGTTTTAAATTAAAAAAAATAAAAATTATGGTGGACTTAAGATTTTAGCTCTGAATTCCCATCAGCCAGTTTAAGATTTTGGTTGAAGTTAAAACTAAAGCAAATAACTAGCTTCATTCAAGCATGTTAGAGAGCAAAGATATGATAGAAAAGACAAAAGAAAAAACAAACTAAGTATCAACCAAGACCATTAGATATTCAACACTTTATAAGGATCGCAACAGTTCAAACTCAAGTGTTGTCTGTGAAGTCAATGTTCTTTTCTGGTGGTACTACCTCAGCATTCTAGAGCAATTTATCAAAGAAAAAATATGATTCTTAAGCAGTAAGCACCCATTCAAATTCATGAAAAGTAAATTCATTCAAATACTCCCAGATATCTATAGATATTTTTTTATTTTTCCTTGTCAAATTATATAATTACTATGTATCACTAGGTAATAACTATTTTGAGAACTTTTTGCATAAATACATTTTAATGGCAAAAATCTGAATGCCTCTCTTGCAGAGAAGCAGAAGACCAGTAATATCACATCTATGGGTTATTGCTGTTAAGCATTAATACCATTTACACAGCCAATCTATCTTATGAGAATTAATATCTTAGTTTTGCAGCTAAAAGGAACTACCCAGCTTTAAGTTTAGAATACTTTTCTCTTAGAGGCACCTTAACACCAGAATTTTACAGATCACCCAATTAAAAGCTCTCTTTATCAGAAATACAACAGCAATTATTATAGACTACCAAAATGTCAAGATGCTGTCTGAAAAGGTCAAAATTTACTAGTAAGTTTCCAACCTGGTTAAAAACAGATAACTTTACTATGTGAATCACTAAGGACTAAGCAGGCCACCTGTCAAAATGTTATAGTTTGTCCTGAACACAATTGGAAATAACAAGCAAAGACAACATCCTAAACACAAGGATATGGCCAAGATACCACTGCAAGTTTGATCAACCATACTATTCAACAGGCCAATATCCAAGCATATTTTATGTTGGAACTACCACTTACTCTTGGGTTACTAAACAGCAATGTGAGATCATTTGCATGCTGGCATCTTCTAATTTGTAAAAATCATTCTTTTGTCCATTATGTGGCTGGCTAAATGCAATATTCATGGAAGTTAATAGTTTCTTCAATGACCACCAGAACACTGGCTCAGCCACAACCAATATTTTTGAACTACCCTTGCTCACAAACGACTGCAGTATATCTTTAATAACAGAAAGCGATGGATGGAACTTATGTATATCTTTTTCACCCTTCTGATGCACATCTTTTATGAGGTTGTAGAGGAAGTCAAGTTTAGAGTTCAATTCCTGCAACCTTCTGTACAACTTTTCTATGTATAGATATGTTGTATGCAGACCATAGTAGCACAGGTACCAAACCATCTGTTTGATCGCGCACAATGTGACCAATGATATTGTGTTATCACCATCCTGGAACAAAGACGTCCTGCACAGACTTCTTTTCTTAATCAAGTCGATGAGCTTTTTCTTTGGAAGGCGGAGAATAGCAATATCGTCCACAGCTTGAGATGGATCCTGAGTCTCAATTAACTCTCTCCGTCTTTCAAAGATAACTTGAAAGATTTTCCTAAGATCATCAATTAGAAGTAGAATATCAGAAGACAACAATATTTGATGCACCTTGATATTCCATTGCTGAGGTTGTACTAGTGTGGTATCAGAAGAGAGAAATCTGCTCCGGCCCATGGTATTGGTATCAATGGAACTGTCAGCTGGTTTATAGTCTTTGTCTCTACCATACTCTTTTGGATTTAAGAAAAAATCAAGATCATTAAATTCTGACCAGGAGTCACCAAACAAAGATGCCTTTTTAGAACTACATTGGGATGATACTCCTTCAATTGGGAACTTTCCATCCTTCAGCAACTTAGTTGACACTTCTATGTTATGAGGCATGGGAGAAACAGGAATGGCATTTGAAGGTAAACTCAATATTTCTTTGCTCTCCACTCTGTTTGGTTCTTGTGGACTATCACTAGAGAAAAGAAAGTTTGATACAAGCATCTCATTGTCGATGAAATTCAAGCAAAGGTCAATGTTGTTAGCATCTATCTCTCCCGATAAATTGAAGAAGTCTTCTCGACACTTCCATTTCTCTTCTTCCACAAAATGCCAATCTAAGTATAATCCATCAGACATGGAGGAAGACTGTGGCTCCAACTCAGCTAGGATTTCCTTAATACACAAGTGCAATGACTTTATATTTCCATTCTCAGAAATTAGCGGCACAGGCAGTGATCTGAAAGAATTATCCACAGGAATGAGCTCATGGGAAACAATCAATTCGTCGAAGTTCCTGAAATTGTCAGCCTCCCTCAACATCAGGTCACATGTATCCTCAACGTCTACTTTTACTTCAGACAGCAATTCACCAAAAGTATAAAGGTCTGAATCAAAGAATTGCAGTTCATTAAAAATGATAGGGTTTCCTACCCAAATTGGACCATCATTTTCTATGCCTTGATGAATCACCGAGTTTTTCTCAAGTTCAATAATACTTATCAAATTCATCTCTAAAGAGAAATTCAAGCACGGAACCTCAACTTCAAGGCAGTCCGTTGCTGAACTACCATTTGACAGGTATTGCAATGTGTCAAACTTTGTGGAATCCAAAAGCTCATTTATGTTACCCATTCCTTCACTTCCTGGTGTCTCACGCTGAAGCTCAATATTTTCAAAGATTAGAACTTTCTCCTTTATAGAGTTGTCGCTGACAATACCCAAACCTGCCTCATCGACTTCGAGAAGAGGAAAGACATATGTACTAGAATGATGTTTCCCCTGACTGAAACCACTATCTTCAAGCCAATCAGAGCTTTTCTCCAGAAAAGACACAGAACAAATGTCATCCACTGAACAAATTGATTGCAGAGTGTCAAGGGAATGTTGCAGCCTAACTTCAAGACCAGGCATATCCTGCAATAAGTGAACAATGTGTGCCAAACCAGTTAGCGATCATTAACAAGTGAAAGTATTGGTTACGTCCTTCCCTTTCCTTCATTCAGTCTGAGAAAAGTAAATTAACATGATGGCATGGAGTACAATTTCTTCACAGTCCTCCACAATGAACAGGCTTCAAATAAAAGGTCACTATGTCATTAAGCATCATTATCCCTTAGAATCATATGGAAAGGAAAGATGTTTGAAACTGAAGGATGACACATATTGACATATGAATGGTCTTGGTGTTGCATAAAATATCCCAGTAAATTGTGTTTAAGAACCTAATTACGTGATTCTTAGATTTCAATAGTCAAGTAAGGCAATCAGAGAACAGAAAAGAAGAAACTAGTGATATAGCTTCTCAAATGATGATTGGGGCTGACAAGAAAAAAGGTAGAGGACATTGTCTTCAGAATCAGAGTACCCAGCTGCATATATATTTAGGAGAGATGAAAGAACAGACTATCTTAAGACTTGAGAGCTTCAACCCATGCATGTAACTAAAAATTATATCATATTCAAAATGACCAAGCTTCTTCCATCAATATAAACCACTGGTTTTTTATTTCTGACCAAAGACTTCTTCCTTGACAGAAAGAGAGGAGTTGGTAATTCCCATCCTATGTAGTTAACCATCATCACAAAAGTTAGCAAATATAAACGAAAAGCATTTCCCTGCAATCATAAAAACTTAAATGCCAGAAGAAATAAGTAAGTCATCAAAATATTACCAGCTTATTTCCATCATCTGAAATCTCAGACAGAATCAGCATGTTCTCCTTTCCAAAATGAGGGATATCTTCTAGCTGACAACAGGAGAACAGACAAATGCAGATGCTGACATGAGAATTTAGCCAGTGGCATATAAATTATATCTGCTTGATTGCCGAGATGGTTTACCAATTGAAGTGAAGATGAATCCAGCTCTGGAATTTCAAATTGGACCATTTCGAGATTGTCCTTCCCCTTGCCATAGGAAACCATAGTCCCCTGCAATAAATAAGTATAAAAGCAGCCAAAAGCAGATGTAATTTTAATGAGGTAAGACAAAAATTAGTACTAATACTTTTTTGCAATCAACTTCTACTCTATCTCAGTTTAGATTAATTTTCTTTTTATTGCAAAAACCTCATTCGTTTTCTGAAAGACGATGCAGTACATGTATGCTTTTACGTATAACATTTCAACATAACATTAACTCATAAAAATAAAGTAGTTACCAATATTACAATACAAACTCAGGCAGTGCTGCCTTGGTAAAGCACATGCAGCCATCTCGAGCAAGTCTTCCAGGAATCTGAAATCTTAACTTTCTAAAGATTTATTTTAATATTGAAAAACCTTAACCTGTAGTTGTATGTTTGAGAATATTGGAAGGTTGTAAGGATGAATATGAGTTTTGAATCATGCAACTTGCAAACAATTCTCTTATTTTCATCATATCTATACCATACACCCTTCATTAGAAATTTTCAAAATTACCATAAATGAAGAAGAAACATCTCAAAATTATCATATCAAAATTCTGTTAATATGCAGTATCTTTTAAAATTATTTCCAAACTAAAAGTGCTAACTATTGAGTCTCATATTCTAGACTTCTGCTGCTGCAGACAGGAGTGATTGCCTGGTTGGTAGCCAGTGTAGTGACGAGTCCAGTGTACTTGAAGACATGAAGCTCCCATTGGAAGTGACAAATGCTTAACTAAATCTAAAATTGACAGCTAAATCGATGCAAATTTGGGAGAGATCCTCAATCAACATAAGCATTCATTTTAATTAAACACTACATTTCATAAAAGCTTTACATCTAAAATTCTTCGCTTTTAAGCAAATTAGATCCTCCTTATAATATCAGCCTCTTACCAGATGCATCAATGCATCAGATAAGTGAATATTTTCATGATGAAGTTAATGAATAGCATTTAAACCCTAAACAAGTTCCAATTATGCTCAGCATTTACCTCTGTAGTAATTCCGCTTGTTTCCTCGGGACTGCAACTTCCCTGCTCGTCAACGTCAAGCTTCCCGGCGAACGGCCGAGGATCTGCGAACTCAGCAAGTTCAACATCAATCCTGTGCGGAAAGACATATGGGAAGAAGCGAGAGAGAGTTTTCTCAATCGGAAATCTCTCGATTTCAACATCGATACTAAGTGTAGGAAGTTCATCAAAACAATGAAGGTCTTCAAAAGTGGAGGTGTTCGAAGTAGGGAGGTGTGGAAGAGGGAGGCGGAGGAAATCGCCGGCTGGAAATTGAGCGGAATTGAAGTAATCCTTGCCGAGAAATCGAGTTCGCATGTCCTGATTACGGTGAGGTTTTCTGGGAGAGAGAAAGAGTAGTGAGAAGAGTGAAGATTTTGAAATGTAACGGATTGTAATTGAAAAATTGAAATGGCGCCCACGGTGATTCGACGGTGTAAATATATTGAGTTACTTCCCGCTAAAATTAGGGGTCATCGTGGCCATGTGTTCTTTCCCCTTTCTCTCTTGTTTCTTTTTCCTGCTTATTGAGATGATCAAATGAAATAATGTTGAGCATTATTTGTCATTTGTAATTTGTAAGTGGTAAGATGCGTTCGTAATCTAAATTTCTTTTGAAATAAATTAATTATGATTATAAAATATTTTAAAAAAAAGTTATGTATATAGTGAGAATTTGAATTTGTTAAACATGAGATTGGAGGTTCTTTAATCTAAAGAAAATAGGGATGTTAGGTTGCAAGGCCAATTCATCTATCGGCTTCTCTCCTAGATTGATGTAATTTTATGAAGTATAGCAAATGATAGAGGAATTCACGTTAAAATTTTAATTTATTTAACTTTAACACACTCTATGAAGTATGTGCTTTGTAATGTCTTTGTCCAGACCTTCCATTTCATCAAGCTAACACTGAATTTAAATTTGTAAATTATATTTAAATATTCAAAAATATAATTTATAATATTTTTCTTGTAATTTTTAACTATTTAAATATAGTTTTTAAATATCATTAAAACGGTTCGAGATCCAGTGATCTCAAGGCAGTTCAATTATTTCCAACCCCCTAAAAAAATGGCAGTTCAATTATTAAATATTAACAATTGAAAACTGCTTGAACGCGAGTAATATAATAGATCGAACTTCGCGACTTGTACAATTTTACGGTCATCGGAACTTTTTTTTTGGATTTTTCTATTCAATGTCAACAATTTGTTTGGATTTTTCTATTTAGTGTTAACAATTTATTTTAAAATCGGACTAAATTTAAATCGTAATTTACTTGACTAAATTTGAATTCCACAATCGATCAGGGAGTAGCGCTCCGTAGAAGAAGTTGAAAGATAAGAAAGCCGACATTCTTATTTTGAGGGCCAATCACGTAGATATAGAAGGCCACGTCCACAGTAGTGTCCCATAAAGGTCGTTCCACGCGTCCTATAACAAGAGACGTGCTTCGCCGAATAAATACGTGTATCCTTCAGAGAACGCCACTCCCATGCAAAGGTGGTCAATTAGTTCAATTCTTCACTCTATAAACTATTCTCATCCATTTATCTCTTTTCAAAATTCAAAAAACAATTATCTTCATTTTCTTCCTTCTGAAAACTACTATTGTACAGTGTACACATTTCTTTCGAAACCCAAAAAAAATAAATAACAAAATTAACCAAGACATCATGGAGGCACAATTGCACCGTCCACAGGATACAGGGTTGCACTCAGGTGAGAAATTGTTAATGAAAATTGAGAGGAAGTGTTATGTTTATTTATTTTATTTAATTGTTTGTTTTTATGATGATTGAAGGGGAAGAACATGGTCAAGTTCATGATGAAGGTGAACATCATCATAAGCAATCAGTGTTGAAGAAAGTGAAGGCAAAGGCAAAAAAGATCAAGGATCATCTAAAACATGGTCTTGGACACGAGCATGGCCATGAACACGAGCACGAGCAGCATTCACTCCAAGGCGACGAAGAAGAAAATGATGATGAAGAAATGGAGGAAGGTGCAGAAGTTCATGGTGGACCATGTACGTTCTCAATAATTTTAGCATATTAATTAATTACTACTTAGATAATTGCTTCCTGACTTATGACTAGTGAATTTTTGTTGCAATTGGCATGGATTAGATGCTATTAGGAGTAAAGATATTCCAAAAGAGGAAGTTGTGCCAATGGGCAATTTAGAGAATCCAACTAGCCCAAAGGAGGATCGTTATGATTCTAAGATGAAGAATGAAGATGTGCATAGGCCAATTTTGCAGAGGCAAGACGAATTTGCGAGGCCACCCTCTTTGGAGGGGACTCACTTCCCCGAAGAAAGGCATAAACCTGTTTTTACTGAGACGACCAAGGGCATTGATGATGATCATGTTACTGCCCTTGGAAAACATGAACATCAAGGACATGAAAATACTGGAGCACCAATGGGCCTAACGGATCATCATGCTGCCCACAGACCAGTTACTGCTGCCGAAACTCGCGAAACTAAGGGCTTTGATCATCATGTTACTGCCCCTGGAGCACAAGGTCATCAAGGACTGCAGGGGCATGAAAATATTATTGGAGCACCAACAGGCGTAGTGGATCATCATGCTGCTGCCGCCCACAGACCAATTACTACTGCTGCGGAAACTCATGAGACTAAGGGCTTTGATCATCATGTTACTGCTCCAGGAGCACAAGGCCATCAAGGACTTCAGGGGACTGAAAATATTATTGGAGCACCAATAGGTTTGGCGAATCCTCACGCTTCCCATTTACATGAACAGATGCATAGGCCACCTGTTGTTACCGATACAGGAGCCCGTGGCCGTGGGGAACTAAATGATCAAGGACTGCAGGGGCACAAATTTAAAGTACTAACAGGTTTAGAGGAGGATCCTAACGTTCCTAAAGACTATCCAAATCCGACAAACTATCAAAGCAAAGTCACCGATCCAACAGGCGCCAGTAAGTTTTACTTCTCTGTTCAAATTGCTATTTGACTAGTTAAGGTAAAAAGTAACATAGATGCTATGTATTTTGATTGTAACAGACAATGAGGAGGCAGGTGTTAGTCCACTTGTTCAATCATTCGAAAAAATGGGAGTGAACGATGTTCCGGAAACAACACGAATAAGAACAGAGCCAAAAGCAGGGGATTTTCAATTTGATCAAGGAACAGAACATAGCCAGTATACAGGATCACATGATCAATTTGCTCCGCAAGAATCGCCTACAGTTTTCCCCTCAGTTCGTGAAAATACTGAATCAATTCCTAAGAGTATCAATCCAAGCAATCCAGAGGATTTACCTCAGGACACACTAACTGGGAAACCAGGTAGCTATACAGAAAAGCTTTCATCCGCAACATCAGCAATTGCTGATAAGGCGGTTGCTGCTAAGAACATTGTCGCCTCCAAACTCGGGTATGGTGGAACAGAGGAGGAAACTCAGGCAACAGCAGGCGATAAAGATGCAACAAAAACAACCTCAGCAACTGAATTTGCACAAAAAGCTGCAAGCGCAGTTGCAGGAAAACTTGCTCCGGTTTATGAGAAAGTAGCAGTTGCTGGTAGCACAGTCGTGACGAAAGTTACAGGACATGAAAACAGGGGAGGTGTTGATGCAGAGCATGAAGTGAAGACTGATAAAGGGGTGTCAATGACGGAGTATTTAGCAGAGAAGTTTAAGCCTGGAGAGGAAGACAGAGCACTTTCTGAAGTGATTTCAGGTTCACTTTCAAGACAGAAGGAGAAAACAGAGGAAACAGGGGAGGCAAAGCCAATGGGGAAGGTGACCGAATCAGTGGAAGTTGAAAGGCGATTAGGTCCTATTGAATCCACAAAGAAAGAAGAAGAAGTTGGTGCTTCTGGAGAAACAAAAGTTGGTGAAAATTTCGGACAGGGGGTGATGGATAGGGTTAAAGGTGCTGTAAGTACATGGCTTGGGAAAGGTGTTGAAGCACAGGCAAATGGTAAGCAAATATATACTTTCTTGCCCATTTTGATATCTATTGGCATTGTAAATTAATTTCATTTTTGGGTTTTTGTATACAGATTCTGCTACGGGTGGAGGCGCTGTTGTTGGGGGGAGGGGTTGAATGATCAAACCATGTTTTGCTAAATCTTCAGCAACCAAGCAATTGAAGTTGTTACAACGATTTCTTTTACTTATATATATGCGTTTTCGCCTAATTTTCTTGTTGTTTTGTTTATGGGAAAAGTGATCAGGATGCTGATGATTTCTAGGAAAGTTATACTTTGAATATTATGTATGTTGTTTTGTAAGTGTTCCACTGAAGTGTGTACTCATATTACATGTAACTTTTTCTGTATCTATTGGTGGTGTATTCCTCAAAGGCCAACGTTGTTAGATTTGTATTGAGTCCGTCCCTTCAAATTTTTTTCTGGCTAAAAGTCTACTGAAATTGAACTGATTATGTATCTGTTCAATTTGTAGTAACGCGTAAACTCTATATCGCGCTGCGCTAATTTTCATCAATCTTAAGAAAATCTAGAGCAGAGACGGAGTACAGCATGCATAATAATCTTAAAGCCTTGTGAAATTTAATTGTATAGGTCGCTAAATCAACGTTTTGTCACTAGTTGTGGTTTGGATTCAGAATTTATGTGAAGGGGTTTGAAATATAAAGAAATAAATATGTGAAAATTACAAAATGAAAACTGAGCGAGATCTTGCCTTGTCATGCCGCGTTAAGTTTTTTTTACTTTTACCCTATTCATCGAGCTTTTTTTTTAAATATTTCTTGTGTTTTTTTCTCTTTTATATTGCAGTGTTCTATTCTATTTTTTTTGAATTTTTTTTAAATTCAACCACTAAGATATTATAATATATATTTATAAGATAAATAATTGACATTGTCGATTTTTTAGTTCATTTAATTCAAATTACTAGGTTAGTCATTCTTGAAAAAGACAAATGATGAATAGAACAAATAAGTTTAGTTTAGAACTGAAAAAAGAAGAAGAAAGAAATACTATAAAATTAAGGGGGGAATCAATTAATTAGATTTTATTAAAAGATTATTCACGACTTTTAAATTTCTTCATTCAATTAACTTTAATTTAATTTCTTTTATATAATATTTTTTGTAAATCAATTTCAAATTTAATAATAATTCATCGTTAGTATATGAAAAGAGACTTATGTAGAAATAAAATGAAAAGTATAAATAAGAAGAATAAAAGACAAAAGTATCTATCATATGTCTAATAAATTTAAACAAAGATAAATTGAGAAAAAGAAATAGCACAGACAGAAAAATAATGATAACAAAAATAATAAAGCTTTACATTGAACCAAAAACAATGATCATTTCATTGAGTTGGGATTTTGAGCACGAAACCAGAGCCCATTCAGCAAAGCAAACAAAAACAAGTGGGAAAATGTTGCAAGTGAGAATCGAACCCGAACCATCTCGCTCAAAATTGAACTCCTTAGCCGTTGTCCGATGAGCCATGCTTCTCTTTTGTTTTGAGAAGGTTCATTTTAATATATGTACTCATAAAATCAGAAATAGACCTTATATATACATACAGTGTAATTTTTCGATGAGAGGATTCGGGTGAACCCTGACCTCCACGTGGATCCGCCCCTGGTTGTGGTACTGATGCATTTTTTTCAGAGAGAAATTTGATATACGTAATCACTAGTTATAAGTTCATAATCACTAATTAGTTGACGTACTAACTAAATAGTTGGTGATAATTTTTTGAGTTATAATTTCCACTTTAGGTGGGGTACACTATTATTAAATGAGTAAATTTTGGGTGGATGAAATTATTTAATGGGTCGAACAGGTTTGGCATTTGTATGTATTCAGATTGAGAGCTAGCTAATACATAGTTAATTAGGCTAACAATATGAGTCATCATTACGCATGTACACAGTTTCTGTTATCTGTTAATGAAAGAATTGTGCCAAATTCTAGAAGCCATCAAAGATACAAATGGAGTTTTCATTCAAAAATTAAAGGGCCTACAAAAATGGACAAAGGAAACATTGTTTTACGGAAAACAGTACAACTAAATTTATATACGAGGTTAATGATATGCGTTATCTATTTAGTCTATATAGCTGATTATTAGCAGTTGAATATTGTGCAATAAACTAAGGGGCCGTTTGGTTAGTATAAAAAGTTGCATTACTTTTATCATGTTTGATAGAAATTTTGTATTAGGTGGAAAAGTCAACATAACTTATACCATATTTGGTTGGTAGAATTCTACATGTTGTATAAAAGTTATTCATGTATTAATTTTATACGGTGTTTGGTTGTGTTTTTTATAGTCCTACATAATTAATACCAACTTAACTTATGAGAGAATCTATGTATAGGTTATGCAGGGTAGAAGGTGGAATAAGTTATGCAGGTATTAGTTATACATGTATTAAAATAGTAAATTACACATTTACCCTTATTGATTTATTTTTAATTAGTTTCATTGAAAATGTTATCCAACTATGCTATTTTCCTTTTTTTTAATACACGAACAACTTTTTTTTTCTGTTTTCATTTGAAATCCAAATGTAATATTTTATTAATATTACAAATTGAATTGTATACAGCGTTATATATTATTAAATATATTCCGCTTCTTTAATTAACATGTATTATTATTTTGTTTAGGATGTGAATTTATACATAATTCATATATTTGGTATATTAAAAATGTGTAAACAATATATACAACATATTGATAGAATATTTACATTATATAAAATAGGATATTATAATGTACTTGAAATATATTAATCGTATTTTATTTTTATAAGTTATAAACATAAAAAAATAACAAAATGAAAAAATAACAATCCCAATTAAGTATAGAGGGAGAACATTTTTTCTTTACTTTTTATTCAAAAAGAGGGAGAATTTATACTAGTTGCTTACTTATTTATTTGTAAGTAATATATATTAGTTTACAACAAATTCAATATTTATTAGTTAATAATTTATGCATTGTGATCTCTACATAATTAAATAATATATGCATAACTAATACTTGCATAATTAAACCCTGCATAACTAATACCTACATAACTAAAACCTACATAACTAATACCTGCATAACTAAACCCTACATAACTCTAACCAGTAACCAAACGGCCCCTAAATCCCCAACAATTTCTCCTCAACTGTCTCATAGAAGAGGAAGACCCATCCAAACACGCTAATACCTGCATAACTCTAACTAGTAACCAAACGGCCCTTAAAGAATCAAAATGCGAGTAAAGGAGCTATGAAGCTTTTATGGTTCAGGGTTATAGTAAAAGTTGAATCTAAAAAAAAATTATGTATAATTTTATGCGAAATAAAAAATAACATAACTAATATCTATATTATTTTTCTTTTCTATGATTTTAATCATTCACTAAACGAAGGGTCACATTCAAGCAATTGGATGAGTAAAACAAAATTCTTTTTATAAAAGTCGGGCTACGTGATATTGAATTCAGAGAAAGGGATGTTACACGAGGCTACAATTGTCCAAAATAAGTGCGCGCACAATAAACAACTAAGCATTAATATCAAAGCTACGGTAATAATTGTGGTATTTCACTTGTGAAACTATATTTCATTATTTTGTATTTTTGTATTTTATTATTTTGTATATCATCATAGACCATAGTTAATAAAGGTGCATGGTGAGAATCACAATTGCAATAGTTTATGCATATGATCCCAGTATATTCTATGTATAACATAAATTTACTAAAATTATTGTTATATGAACTCATAATTTTAAAAATTTGAATGTCTCATATGAAAGTCTTAAAAAAATTAAATTCATAAAAGTCAAATTTCAAATTCACTTGAACAAAAGTGCATGTACAAATCCATTATAATATACTCCCCCATTTCCTATTAATTGAATTTTTGAGGCATTTTTCATTTTTCAAATTAACTTAGTTGTTCAATTTTTCAAGACTACTTTTTAGAGTGTTCTTCCAATTTTACCCTTCATTTGGATTTTCAATGTGATGACTTCAATAAATTTAACAATAATTAATAAGGGTAACAATGGAAAACTATATTCAATTTACGTCTTAATCTACTTTTCTTAAAGAGTATGAAACACCTCAAAAATTCAATTAATATAGAATGGAGGGAGTACTATATTATTAGTTTGATATAAACTCTTTAATATGGTCGTGAATGCCAACATATTCATGATTTTCCCATTTTTCTCCAATAAACTCAAGAGAAGAAATAAAATAGATTTCATATTTCCAACATTATACCACCAATAAAAAAAGAGTAATTATTAATTATGTAACAGCAAGAATCAAGCAAAAAGTTTCTCTAACATTTTATTTTCTCTAAAAAAAAAAAAAAAAAAAGACCAAAAAAGTAGCCGATTCATAGTTGCAATTTGAATACTTCAAATAGAGATGATCTTTCACTTTGCTTCTTCTTTCTTCTCTTCTTTCTTTTCCTCCTTCTTCTCTTCCTTTTTTTCTTCTTTCTTTTCCTCTTTTTTCTCTTCCTTTTTTTCTTCCTTCTTCTCTTCCTTAGCTGGTCCCACTGATAATATATCAACTTTACCAACAGCTTTTTTCAATTTCTTCACCACTGCTACTGCATCCATCTCTCCTATCACTGTTAATTTTTGCTCCTTTAGATCTGCTGCTATTGAATCTACACCTGTTTAATTATAAACTAATTCAATTTTACTGATACTAGATCTTCAAAATCAGACAGGGGCATTTTAGTCAGTAAATAAATTAATTACCTAAAATATCAGCTGCAGCTTCTATGGCTTTCTGCTTTGTCTTTTCATCAGACATGGTTAGCACCTTCATTACAACTTTCATCTGATGGATTAACGAAAAAATACAAATATTACTTATTCGACAGCTCAGTTGATTGGTTACCTAAAATTTTATCTTTTTGATAAAGGTTCGATTCTCCGCTTTGTAATTTCAATTTAAAAAAGGGGAAGGAGAAAGATCTATTGGACTAGAGAAATCTATAAAAGGGAATTAAGTTAAAAAAGAACAAAATTAAAGAACATACAAATATAGAATATGTTTTTTTTTTTTACAGTACCTGAGCCATTTTGGAGAACTCGAAGGAGTGCTTTGGATACTTGTTTGACGAAAATGAAGAAGCTTAAAAAATACGCCGTTATTATTATTATTATATAGGGGACAAAAACAATGAGATGTCAAAAGGAAAAATATTTTTTTTCATTAAAAAAGAAAAGAAGATTTGGTACCCCGTATTTGTATTAATTTAATAAAATAAGTAATACTTACAAATGTTTATACCTAATACTTAATTAGATTTTTTTTACTAATCCTCTCACTTAAACATGACGTATTAGGGTCCGTTTGAACATAACTTTTTTTTCTTTCTAAAATCGATTTGGTTATACCTATAACAATAATATTATATCCCATATAACTCGACAAATGAAGAATAATGAGTAAATTTAGACCTTATTAAGATTAAAAAATTCATTTTTGATAGATCTTGATTTAAAATATATATATTCAATTTCAACTTTTACATATATTTTAATTGATTATAAATATTACTAAAAAAAATCAAGGGTGACGGAACATGAACAAACATTTTGGGTGTCAAAACGTGGGTGTGGAGAAGTCTTATGCTGACCAGAAAGATGCTGCCTATGACGCATTTTGAGTGGAAATCTAGGCAGATTGCATATACTTTAACCTATTAGGTCCTTCAATTTCTCCCTTTTTTTTTTTTTTTGATATATGACCCTTGAGATTTAAATGTTTTATCCAAAAAAAATTATATTCAAGCAAATAGAATTAATTACTTACATTACAAAACGATCCTCCAAACATTTTTACATGTTTTTGTGTATTAATGGGAAAAAAGAGTAAGATCTGAATATTCTTAAGATTTCGATTTTCTTAAGGTTGAGAATTTTGGGGAATTATCTATATGTTGAATTTCCGTGAGCCAAAATTAAAGTTGAAAAACCAGTAGGCAAGAACCACCCATTATATTACAAAGAGAAAGAGGTGGTTGGGGTGGACATGGTATGATATATACCAAATTATTAAATTATATGGAAATTTTTAATATCGTAGTTTTAGTATTATGATATTTGATGACGTGGTATATATTATATATTTTAATTTTTTTGATGTTCGATATGATATTTGGTATTTAGAAATAATTTACTGAAATATCGAATACCATATGGAAATATGTAGTTACATAAATAACACACACACACACATATATATATATATATAATTAAAATACAAATAAATATGCAATCTAGTATTAGTATATATAAACTAAATGTTTAGAAGTTGAAACTTTGACTACTCTATTTTGATTGAAATGTAATTGATTAACAAAATGAGTTGTTTGTACTTTATTTTGAATATATATTTATAAATATGTAACATGTTAGTATGGTACAATTGAGACATTTTTTTAATTGTCAAAGTAAAGGTACTATATTTTACGAGTATATATTAGTCAAAGTTGAACAAACTATGATTATCGATTTACCATATCATAAAATACCAAAACCAAACTTTAATATACCGAATCATACTGAATTAAATTGGTATAGTAATAATATAATATTTTGAAAAATGAATACTGAAATTACGATATCAAAATTTTCAATTATTGTACCATACCATGCCCATCTCTGGTCACAGTTATATATTTCCAAGACCTTATTTCAACAATTTCGGAGTTGAAGAAATTTGAATCTTTATATTACAAAGAGAAAGAGGTGGGTAATTGCTAATGGTGACAATGACCGTATATAGTGATTGATTGTGACGGTGGATGATATACCGTGATAATTTAAAATTGTGATGAATGACAACAATGTTTGATGATATGCAATGATGATTAATAGTGGTGATTATCGATGATAATGTGTTGTAGTGATGATTGATAGTGATAATTGTACATAATAGCTATTGATGTTAACGATTGTTTGTAGTGATTAGTAACATTAATGAATGGAAATAAATGGTAATAGTCGATAATGATGGACGAAATAATTGTGCTTGATTATTATAGGCAATTGCAATTGTAGTGAATAAATCAAATTGATGAATTGATATCTTAACCATTAAAATTTATTCACATCAAAACACAATTAATAGATAAGATTTGAAAAATTAAAATTTAATCTAAAAAAAACTAACAAACTTAATAACTGAAATATAACTAACTAAAATTAATGCCTTCATTAAATGCAAACAAATAAAATTTTAATTAGTTTGGTGTTTGGAGGACAACAGGTCACCCTTAGGCCCTATAAGCTTAAGATATGTTTGGTATCAAGAAAAATACTTTTATCGAAAATAAATAATTTACTTATTTTCTAATATTAAGTAAATAAATATTAGAAATTATTCTAATAATGAAAGGGTCATTTCCACTTTTACCCTATTTTGTGTTAATCTTTACTATTTATCCCTCATAATGACAGTTTTTTCATGGGACATAAATTTACATAATTATATCATAAGTATATATAGAATAAAAGAAATACTTCTTGATAAATGGTTCACATCTATTTGAATGATATGATTTGTTAATTTGTAACTTCTTAATGAAATGATGTAAATTTTTTAGAACACTTGAAATTATTTTTTTATTATAAAAGCAAGAGTAATGTTTCAACTTTCATTACATTAACTTTATTTTAGCTTGGTGAAAAAAAAAAAACTTTGACTTAGCTTCATACATTCTTCTATGGATGAAAAGGTAAATAACGTGTCTATTTAAAATTTATAAGCTAAATATACAACAGAGAAACAAAAAAACCACTCTTTCTTTAACCAATTCTCCATTATCTCAAATAGTCATTTTTCCTATTGTAAATTTCTGAACATTTATATTGATGCAACTTCAAACTTTTCAGTCAGAATATACATACTTTATGAAAATTGAAAGAGCTCTGAGACTTTATGACTCGCCTTGATAATTTGTATCAAAGTTGAATCGAAATTATTTTTAAAATAGTGACTTGTTACGACATACTTAGTATTTATATCGATGCTTATTGTTTCTAATTTTTGTTTGATATTAATATTGAGGATTTTTTTCTAACACTACGCACTTGTCAAGAGTTAATATCTCAAAAGGTGACTCAACTTTGAAAATTTATCTTGTAAAGTTATTAAACTTTATTTTGTATCAATAAAATACTCAACTTATGCATTTATATCAATAAAATCACTCAACTTAAACATTTATTAAAAAAATATATTTTTTATATCTAATCACAATTAAAATAATAAATAAATAGCTTAAATTACTACTTTATTACAAAATAAAATATTAATAGATAATTTCATTTGATAAGTTAATACTGCTCCATTTGATAAATTAATACTGCTTCATTGCACTGATGCCTACCACTTGATCTGATAGTTTAGTCAATTTCAATAATTTATCAATTTCATTTGATAAATTACTATTGCTTCATTTGACGGTATAACAACACTTGCTGTGATGGTTTAATCAATTTCTTGTTTGAGTGAATGACGCCAGCTTGAAGAATTTTAGGTTCAAGTTTGATAAATTTATCTTTTATTTTCAATTTTATATTATTTTATAATGAAATAGTAATTTTGAGTCATTTATTTAGTAGTTTAATCATGAACGTAATATAAAAAATAACTTATTTGTGGTGTAATTTTTTTTTTAATGATGAATATGATTGAGTGATTTTATTGATATAAAGAACTAAGATAAGTGATTTTTTTGATATAAAATAAAGTTTAATGACTTTAGTAGATAAATTCCTAGAGTTCAAGATATTAACTCACTTGTCAATGCAATGTAGATAAATTAAATATCTTTCAACATCCAAAGAGTTGGATGATTTGACGAAGAAGATTGCATGGGAAATGGGCTAATTGCTATGACTAGGCGTCTACATTTAGGTCTGACTCATGCAATTACTTCACACTTTATTCAAATTATATTATTCACCATCAAACCTCACCTAATTAGTGAACGCAGCTCTGGTAATTTGTAATATTGCATTGTTCTCACCCCCACCCCCACTCATTCTTATACCTAGACCCTAGCACTAGTGATATGAGTCGAAGTGTCTGTTTGAATTAGCTTAATTTTAAGTGTTTTTTACTTTTAAATACTTTTTGTTTTTGTTTTGAAGGTGTTTGAAAAGGTTAAAAAGTACTTTTAAGCACTTACTCTAGATTATTTTTTTAAAAAAATAAGTCAAAATTCAAAAGTTCGATCTCTCAAGAGTAGGCCTCGTGTGCACGAATCCATTCGGTTGGGTTCAATTTTGGTCATTGTTGACTTGAAATTTTGAACTTTTGAAATTTTCATCTAAAATTCTATCCATTCTAGGTCCAATTCGGTTCTTTTTTTTTTTTTTTTTACTTTGGTTTGGTTATACAAATTGATTTATCCAGTTTCGAAATATAAACAAGTAACTATTTTCATTTCAATTTTAAGGCAAACATAACCAAAAGTAACACGATATTAAAATTACAGAGCAATCATATTTAAATCGAAAAATCATAGCATTTTATGATTAAATTTGTACATCTAATTCTCGAATCGATTCGGAAATTTAGGCAGAGCCGATTTGTGCACAGCCTACTCAACAGTGCATTTTTCATCAAAATATTTCCACTAAAAATGAAAGGCCTAAGGACTATTTATAGACAAATTACAGAAATACACACCTTTTGTTTCACTTATTTCTATTATCCTCTATTACTTTTAAAAATTTCCAAAATCCCTTATTTCTTTAATGTATCCGAGTTGCATATTAATGTATCTGAGCCAGTATTTAATGTATCCGAGCTAGTTTTTAATGTATCCGAGCTACATATTAATGTATTCGAGCCAGTATTTAATGTACCTGAGCTATATATTATGTATCCGAGCTACATATTAATGTATCTGAGACAGTATTTAATGTATCCGAGCTTCAATTATTGTATCCGGTATTTTTAATTTTTAAGAGATTAATGTAATTAAAACCTTATTAGAAATAAATTGTAATTTCATATTAAAACTATGAGATTTATGTAATTTACCCATTTACATTACCCCCAAAAACTAACCGTAAAGATTACATGTGTAACCGAAAATTGCGAGAATACCCCAAATTACAATGATTACCAACCACCACCAACTTACAAAAGTAGCCTAACGTTCTTGATAGCCATTTCTTGTAGGAACAATATTATCATGAGGATGCCCCCAACAAATCTAAAAACGTAACAGTAGAATAAATAAGCTCATGAGTATACAACGTTACAAAAGGAAATTAATCAAATTTCACATAATGGTGCAAGCATGAGGATTATCATCACTGAAAAGAGAAGCAACTGCTTCATCTGATGCTACTGCTACTGAATAAACTGATGGAGTGTGAAAAAATGTATGAACACTCGGGGCTGCAACGTTTCGAGATGTATCGTAGTAATGGCTTATGATGTGATTTGGGTACTGATAAAATGAAGCAAAATGTGAGTAACCAACTGGATATGGCCATGGCTCTGCTGCTTTTCCTGCTCGTTTTATCGCCTTTAACACTTTCTTCTCCTCCAATCCGTAACCTCTTGCTGTAACTTTCTGCGTCTCCATATCAATGTCTATTGTTTCTACTCCTGATGAAATAGTATGTTGTACACCATTATTTCATTGAATATATGTTTACTCGTAACTATCAGATAAATTAATTAACCAAATGGGGAGGCTACTGTATTTTTGTTTGTAATGGGATTTGTTCAAATTATGTATTCAACTTAAAGTTAATTTCTAATGGAAAGTTGGGTTAGACCAAGTTATTGTTCTAACCAATTTGTACTTGTATTGTTTCTAATACTCCCTCCTCGCTCTGTTTCAATTTATTTGTTCTATTTTTCTTTTTAATGAGTTTCAACAAGAATATTTCTTTATTTTTGAGAATTACTATTAGATTTTAATTTTTCACATAACATGTTTAAGATCGTAAAATAAAAAAGTATTTTGATATATTCTACACATCTTTAAATTAAATTTATAAAATACAAAAAACTTCTTTATTTTTCTAAATTTCATGTCAAATCAAAATAGAACAAACAAAATGAAACGGAGTTAATAGTAATTAATATTGCACAGGGTATTGGCCATTAGGACTTTATAGTAATGGTGCTCTGTTCGTAACACTCTATGAACAGGGGTCAAGGGTAAAATTCAAGACTATGTCTATTCCACCCTCGTGTACTCAACTTGTGAAATTATACTAAATATGTTAGTCCTCTTCGTACTTCACTTATGAAATTACATGTTGTTGTTGTTGTTCTAGTGATACATATATAGAGAAAGAAAAGTGTTTTTTTGGTGATGTTAGTGAGCAATGTGACTGACCTTTAAGCTTGAAAATAGCTTTTCTAAGCTTGGAAGCACATCCTTCACAATCCAAGTTTGGAACTCTTACCTCCACCATAATCTGCAACATATATAATATTAATATTAGCTATATTCTCATTTACAAAATGTTATATAAATACATAGAAGAGAGGAGAAAAAGAGACTTACAGACATGTTTGATGGAACAAATTTGTTGCTAAATTTCTAAGACTTTTGAGAAAGAGAGACCTTAATTATGGCTCTCCTTAAATTTGTTTCAACTAGGACTACCTAGGTAAGTTCTCATCTTTAATATACTACTCCCTCCCTCCTGTTACATGTACCTACCAATATAAGTGTTAAGTGAGAGTCGACAAGTTCTAAATTTAATATTTGTACATAACTTATAACCAGACTTCTAACTCTGTTTCTAGTGACATCTAATAAAGATAAAATAAAGATGGTGTCATTGAATAATTGTCAAATAAGAAACAATGATATTCTTTTCGAAACAGACCAATAAAAAGATTACTCATATATTTTTTCTTTTCACTTTTACTTGTTATTTTCGTATTTGACATATGCATTAAGCAAATAATTATTGACATGATATTTTACCATATTACTCCTATTGATTATTGTTAAATATTGAGTCTTGAAAAATAATTTAAGAAATAAGTAACTAATATTAAAAGTAAAATATGAAAAAAGTTAACTATCTTTTCTTGATACGTAAAAATAATTACAAATAAAAGTGAGGAAAAAGAGTAAATTGTGACCGAAAGAACAACATCAATGAATAATATTTTCTTATTAAAGTGACACTTATTTTAGATCGACGGATCACAAAAGTAATTGTATTTATGAAGGTAGCTAGGTTGGACAGGGGTACTAATTACTGCTCCCTTCATCAAAACATAGCATTGGTTTTTGAAATTTGAGGCGTGGACGTTGGCGTGATGATCACCTTTCCCCCCCACCACCCCAATGGCCCAATAACCCAAAATACCTCTCTCTCAAACACTATACACAAAACAAACTGAATCTGATTCAGCTTTATTTTTTTATTTTCTATAAAAAGTTATCACGACAAACATACTATAATATCATCATATGTAGCCAATTAAGTTGACAACTGGACCAAGTGTGCCAAAACAAAGTTGTTGCATGCTTTCATGCAAGTCTTGTTCAAATATCCTTGCTAGCTAGCTAGGTGTAATTAATTCTTTCTTGTGTTCATCACTATATATATATATATATATGGACTGATGAATTATGATAAGGTATAATTGTTGGAATAGTTTTCAAAGGTCATGCATAATCAAATAATGTGATGATGAAATTAAACCTAGGATTTTACTCATATATGACAGTATAAACTATTTTCATATTATATAGTCTAGACATGACTAGTATATGCCTTTTAATTTGTTGTACCACGTGACTTGGATCACTAGTTGTTTTTCTAATTTATGTAATATAGTTTGATTTGATACAAAATTTAAGAAAGGGGGACTGAGTTTTGAAGCTTGTAGTCTTAACAAGTCATAGATGTTCGAATGAATATATATCATTTCAATAAGAATAAAATCGACTTAAAGTTATATTTTTACTAAATATAAGAACATGTAAAAAAAATTGAGACTGACTAAAGAGGAGAAATGAGTTAGCTAAATTGAGAGTACTAATTAGTCTCATATATGTTATGTATGGTTATAAGCCGTAATTATCATTTAACGAGTGACTTAATTTTGTACAAATTTTCTTGCATTATAAATGTATGATATATACGATAGTGGTGAACTTTTGACTCAACCTCTGATTAATCATTAAAAAATCTATAATTATTAAAATTTTAAACCAAGTAAACAAGATTATCAATGAGTTTAATGATATTTCGAATTTATAAAATTTAAATTCTCAATTCTGGTCACGGTAAGAGTTAAATTCTTGGTGGTAAGATATGGACTATATATGTGTTAGAGAATATTCTTACAAAAGGCTGCAAAAATAATTAGAAAATGACGTAAAGAAAACAGATTTTTCCGCAAAGAAAATCACACTCTCTCAGCCTCTTTTACTATTGTAGTGAACTATTTTCATGTTGACAAAGATGAGAATGCTCATAACACGAAAGCTTTATTTGGTAGCATGATTGGTACAAAAATGATGATGGTGGAGTTCAATAATAAATAATGATGGTGGCTGCCAATAGCATATCAAACACAATTAATATGTAGCACATTTTCTCATTACCATTTCAAAATTTCAAACACCTCTATTGCCACAGCGTCCAAGTAATTATTACTCCCTCTGTCCCAATTTATATGACTTACTTTCCTTTTTAGTCAGTCCCAAAAAGAATGACACATTTCTATTTTAAGTAATAATTTGCCTATAAAATGTCTTTTTTACCCTTAATGAAATGATTTACAACCACACAAATTTCTATCATTCATTTTGGACCACAAGTTTTAAAAGTCTTTCCATTTTTCTTAAAGTTTGTGCCAAATCAAAGTACATCATATAAAATGGGACGGAGGGAGTAGTATTTATTGCTAGTTTAATAATAGTTGTCCACTATTATTTGATACAGAGATTAAGAAATATTAAATGATAGAAATAATTTTACCAAATCACTCTTATTAAACTGATCTTTTTTCCATTTTTTAATTAAAAGATATTAAAGTTAAAATGGTAAAAATGTTCAAAAAGATAAAAATAACATAAGTAAATATCATTTTGGCCAAAAGGATTTTTCCTAAATATAAGTCATCTAAATATTGAAAAATGAATAGTATTTAATAGTAAGAGTAAAATAGACATAACATGATAAATTATTCATTGATTTTATAAATGGACACATATTGTTAGACATTTTAAAATAGGAAATTTTTCAAAACAACAATATTGTAGCTTTTAGTGGACTCCTTAGCAATAGTTTCACTATTTATTTAAAATGACAATATTTTAGTTTGTTAAAGAATGAGTTATGTATTTATTTTATTTTAATTAATTTGAAAGAATACAAATAATTAATAACATAATAGAGAAAATCATGGAATAGAAAATTTCAAAAAGGAAAAAAAGATTTTAAATATAAATCAGTTACGTTTTGAAAGAGCATATGTTGCCATTTTTTCTTTCGAGCGTTTTTTCCTTGTTCTTAAGAATTCCAATTTTTTTTTTCAAAAAATAGTTTTGTCTTCCGAATCATTCAATTGATAATTTTCAAAGCTTCTTCGAGTTGAATTCGGCATATTCTTGAAACGGAGGTTTTCAAAATTCACGACTATAATTTCGTCAGTTCCATTGAATTCAAGAAATTTCGACATCAGGTATTTTTGTTTTTGTCTATTATTGTATTTGTTTGGATGATATACTCGTATATCTCGACTATAATAGTGAGTTGATTTTTTTCTGATTAAATCGGTGAAATCTTTATATGGTTTGATATTTTTAGCTTTTTTATTGGATGTTTTGTATCCAAACTATGATGTAGAACGATTGAAAGTGCTTGATTTTTTTAGTTTCGTAGATGTTTTCTTTTTATTTGAATGCATACAATATTTTTGTATCCCATTTTGTTAATGTAAACAGTAACAATATGAGATTTTCGTATCCCATTTTTTTTGAATATTTTTGTAACACCCCAGAAATTTTTTGAGCTAAGACTCGAACCGTTCTTCGTAGTGAGTGAGATTTTTGTAAGGAATTTAAAATTTCTTCAGTATTAAGGTCACTAGAGGTAGTACCTTAAGTTTCAAGAAGAACTTAAGAGAAAAGCATTCAAGTCATTCCTAGTTTTCCTTAAGTTTTGGGTCAACTTCAAACGACCATAACTCCTAGTACAGGATGAGTTAGGTGAGATACAAGATAGAAAATTAAAGCCCTTCAAGTCCTCTTTCCAACTCCACCGAGTTTGCTAAATTTCGAGCTCTGAGTAAAAAATTATGACTGATTTACTAACGACGTGCAAACCTTGCAGCAGCTCCGCGATGTCTCCGCGACGCGGAGCCAATACGGACCTCACTGCCTGGTGAAAAATCATTTCGACTCCCAACTCGTTTTAATTATTTCTTAAAAGGTATTTTAGTCCTAAAAACCCTTAGGAGGTCATTTAAATTGCCCTAAACGTGTAGAAAATCAGTTTTTCTTAAATCTAAACCCTCTCATTCCCTCCAAAGATTCTACGCTCAAGAAATTCAAGAAAAAAACTAAGGCTAGGGTTCTTCTTCAAAGGTTTTCCTTCAAGTTGCTTCAAGAGGATAATTCTTTCAGGTATGTAAGCTTCCATAGTGTTGGGTTTGTTCATCCACATGCCAATCATGTTAATTTCAGTTTTAAATTCGTTCTAAAAGTTGAAGCTTTTGATGTTCTTGTTATGTATTCATGAATTTGCTTTCGTTCTTGAATTGGGCTGAGATTGAGGAGTTCTTGAGATTAATGTGTCGATTTATAGAGGAGTTAGAGTTAGATTCTAGTGTACATGTGCTGGGTATCTAAATCTAAAGAGAGATTGAGAAAAAGGATCAAATTTAGGCGAATTGGGGTTAGAAAGCGAAGAAGAAATTTCGTTGAACAAAATTTGAAGGTGGTCGCGCGCCGCGCGCCCAAATTTGAAATTTTAGCTTCGCGTCGCGGAGCTGACACGAGGTGTTCTGCTTCAAAAAGACGTTTTCAAAACCAAATTTTAAAAGCCTCTCCGCATCGCGGACCCACTCTCAAATATTGATTTTCAGTCTTTTGTCATGTTTAGTTATCTAAAATCATTCCTAAACATCATGAAACTTTTCCTATCACAAATCACAACCTTGAATTCATAAATCACATTCAAGGTAGAGTTGAGAGTTAAATTTTGAGAATTCTTTCGAACATTCTAAGAAAGTCCTTTAAGTC